CAGTCCAGACTATCTGTTTATTTTTTTCTCTAACAAACACATACATAACTAAGTTAGATTTTTACCCCACTACATAATGGAAGCCAATGTTGTACATTGTACTCCACTATATTTGTTTTCTTTTTAACTCATCATTTTTATTGATTTGTCCACAGAATACAGTACATTCTCACATAGAAAAAGATCCCATCTAGTCCATCATAACATTTCCAGTTTTTTGTTCAGCCATATTAGCTGTATTTCCTCTCTGAAGTCCTGAAGCAACGAATATTGAACCCAGAACTCCAGCAGCATGTGTTATGTAAAAGTAAAAACTGGTCAAGTCTGAGTCAAACAACCTACCAAACCACCATATGTCCCAAGTGCAGTACAAGAAGACCTCACAAAGAACAGAATGTAAACCATCCCAGAAAGACTGTATTTTCATGCAGCTCCACAAAATGTGTGTGGTTATCCAGCATGCCTGCTGAATCTTTGTTTGTTTACGTTTAATACTAGGTGTGATAAAATACCCAATCTGGTTCTTCCAAATAATCTCTCTCCACTCCTGTGATTGTGTCGTGTTCAGGTGAAATGTTCCCTTCTGGGATTTCCTCACCCAGTTCTTTTACCTATCTGGTTCCCTATATTTATTTTGAAGTTTAGGTTGCCTTGCAATTTCAATTTATACAAACCCAACTAATAATTTATGATGTATTTTTATAGATTAAGCCGCCCAGCAGTATTTAAAGCAATTGAAATCAACTCCACCGTCACCAGCTACAATGTTAAAGCAATGCTTACACATTATTCTGTGATCGTTCATTCTGTACAATGAGTGCCTTTACTTAAGTAGTTTCAGTATATGAATTACTACTTTAAGTGAAAAATTTAAGTACTTTAAGTGAAAAATCTGAGTTCTTCTTCCACCACTGCATATAGTCCTAGATAAAGTCATTTTCACTGCATCAATTTAATTTGTATTTGATTCAGCTTGACGTAACCAAGACCTCATCTGATGTTTTCCTGCTTCCTTGGCAATATGCAGCATACTTACTGACTCTTTTTCATCTGATGACTCATCCAGCAGTTTTGCTAACACGACTGTGCTGTCTTCAAAGTCTGCTAAGAAAATAAACCAAAAGACAAAAAAGGAAAATATGGCTTGAGAGATAGTTTTCTATATATATTTCACTTGTTTTCTTCACATTAGTGCCTTTGGACTGGTGTCCTGTCAGTCTTATCCGTGTAGCCCAGCACCAGGTTACAGCCGTAATGTGGATACATGCCTCGTAATGTTGACTGTACTCAACTATTTATACAGTTGATTCACACCGAAGCCTTTGTCTCTATTGTGTGTTTTGATTGTTTTAAAATTTGGCATCATTACAACAAGAATCTGCTTACAATAAGGTCGAGGTTGAGTTTTTTTGAACGTACCCCTTTTGGCAGTCTAAGCACCCAGCACATTCTCATTCCAACCTCGTCGCATATTGACGTTTGGTCATGGACTTTCCATGTCCACATATGACATGCAGAGTGTTATTTGTTGATGTTCTGGGACACCGTGTCAAGTCCTGCCTGTTACATGCATTGTCTTCTTTCAAAATACACCTCTGTTTTCACAGGAAATTTAAGGTTCGCATCATGGGTGCAGATCTGATGACAGGTTTGGGGGGGACACAATCAGTTGTGATTTTTTTTTTTTTTTTAATTGCACACGTGCAAATCATGCCCACAGAGCGCTTGAGATTGGCAGCATATTTCATGATTTCATAGACGCTCATCACCAAGTCATTCAAAAAGCACTACACAGAGAATCATATGCTTACCTTTACTGTTTATTTCTCTTAAACAGCCAATAGTACATGGAGCCAGCCATCCCCCTCCTTTTCACTGCTTCCCTGTTAGTTAATGCTGCTTCTTGTTTCAGGGTCTCAGGCATGTTATGTCCACTCACGTTCTCATCTCTCGCCTCTCACAGATTCCCAATTCTCCTCATCATCTTCCCTTTTTTTTCCTAGTATATGGGACTACTGTATACATTTGTTCAATTTCAATCATTTAGGTTATTTAGAATTGGGGGGGGTCAATTTGTGTTTTTCAGAAATTGGGGGGGACATGTGACCCCCCCCCCCCCCCCCCCCCCCCCCCCCCCCCCCCCCCCCCCCCCCCCGGGATCTGCACCCATGGTTCGCATACAGTCCCTTTCAAAATAAACGCATTACGTCAGTACAACACTGCAAATTGACCTTTTTTTCCCTTCAACAAACACACATGCTTGGGTTTAGGCAACAAAAGCACGTGGTTAGGTTTAGGAAAAGAGAACAGGGTTTGGCTTTAGAATCTTACAGGACGTAGACACTGCTCTCTCAGGTGAAAGTTGGTGTTTGTTGGACCCATCCACCACCACTCTGGCCTGCCCCACTCGGACTTTCGCCACCTTAACTTTCATCCTTGTCCCGCCATGTTTCCCCCTTATGCTGCCAGATGCCGTTAAACCATAAAGGCAAACAGCCGTTAAAGGACGCCTTTTTTCATTGGTTTCTGACACCACAAGTCATTGCCTAAGCGCCGGATTTCAACGACTTAGGAGTGAGACTGGGTTCGAGCACCATAAGCTGAGCGCCAAGTTAAGAAGCAGTGTTTCACTGCCTTCTGTGATTGACAGTCTCAAGCCTGCTTCAGTTCTGTCGCAGCAGTAACCACAGCCGTCACAATAGTGACGTCACAGCATATTAGAGTGCACCTGTATGTCACTGCATTAAGACGAGACGTTAAACCACTAGAGGTCAGCAAAAACATGATCCTCAGGGGGCGTGAAGGTACTCCTAAGACGCATTTAAACATGAATGAAGAATATATTATTTCAAAGCACGATGTCCTACATGCAGCCTGACTCAGATATCTGTATATATACTTGATAAACTGCAGTTTCTGAAAATACAAAAATACATTTTGTTCAGTTTTTATAGAGCAGTAACCTGTTTGGTACTGAAGTGCACACTTTTTATGATCAAAACAAAGAACAGCACTGATTTGTTTAATTCAGCAGCTGAATCTGTTTCCATTTAACATCCTTATAAACATTAATGATGATATTGACTTTATAAAGTGATACCAGTTGTGCAAAATTAGAAAACAGTGATGATTTCTGTCTCTTAGTGATGCTCTGCAGCCTTTGAGGACACAAATAATCAAAGCATTATCAGCACAGTTGTCTTATTTCTACTCCATATATAATAATACAGTGACTTTGCATTCAGTATCAGTGCCGTCAGAGACCAGTATGGACCAGGATGATAGATGTGGACCCACTGGAGCCTCCTCAGTAAAGCTTGAAATACCAGTTCAGACCTTTTGGATCTGCTCACCTGGATAATTACGAGTTATGTCTACTTATGTATCATGTAAAAATACTTAAGCTGTTTTCCTTTCACATCGTGTGAGCTCTGACAGCTGCCAACACACCTACAGACCGTGTGAAGCTGTAACCTGTTTACCTGCGTGCCACCACACCTGTACTTAGAGGTAATTAGTCTGCAGCAGGTGTGACTGCTTCCTCGCGCCGCTTTCCCACCGCTCCCCTTTTATTCAGCAGCATATTTTAGTAAATATGATTGACATAATTTAATGTTTGAATCGTTACAGTGTGTGAAAACATCTCCACGCGTTGTTGTTATGATGCCATTATCAACACTGATACCGTGGATCCAACGTGCAGCTGCTGCGCAACCGGTTTGTTTCTGCCTCCTTCTCTTTTTGTCGCATTGGAATTAAAGGAGAAGCGGAGTTGGATATTATTGGGGATCGGACCCAAGTTATAGATGGTGGCCGCCTCTGTGTAGCTGTGTGGTGACTATGGGATGTAGGGGGAACATGATTGTTAACACGCACACTGACCTCCGGTGAATTTGGGAGACGGGACGCAGAGAGCGCCGACAGGGAGGTCGAGATAGGCGGAGAAGGACCCCGCCGGACGGACAGCTGGGGACCGAACTGGAAGACGTCCAGCTGGCAGGCTGAGCAGGTAGGATGAATGAAACTGGAGGGTGAGGGTGTGCGCAGTGTCGCTGCTTGGATGCAACGTATATCACAGACAGAGTACTTTCATAAAATAAAATCGCACGCCCCGATACGGATTGTTCGTAATGGGAAAAAATCTGACTCCAAACTTCATTCACCAACCGGACAGTTTAATGTTGCGTGGCTCCTTGGAGGCAGGATTATGTAGCACAGCAGATTTTCAACAATTTTCCAAATTGATAGAGAGGACTCGTTAATTCGGCTAACAATTCACAAAGATACACCTTGATTTAATCATATTCTTGGTTGTAGAGTTACTTCTCATGGCAGCCTATTACCACACAATACTCCATACAATGATCTGCGGAGGCCAGTAGTCAGCACTGTGACTCAGGCGTAAAAACACAAATTATTTTGAAATGTAGTCCTTTAAAGGAAATCACGTGCATGCCGAATTTCTCTGGGGATGCCAACAAAATCTTACAAAGATTATTAAGTGCGTGTACTGTGCGTTTGTCTATCAGTAACCACAGCAACCTTAAATCGCTGGATTTATTAATGGAGTTTGGTTGATTCTTCGCAGAAAGTCGGCCATGTGTTACATGCAACTCCACAACACTGCAGGGGAGCCTGTGTGTACGTCATAAGAAGTGATGCTATCATTTTAACACATCTGTGGCTCTATGTTGCACAACATTGCTTTATATCAAATGTATGTAAAAGCTGTATAACTGCCAGCTCTTAATTACTGAGTAGGTATTTTAATAATCTGACAGCTCATGTGAGGTGGTCAGCAAAAAATGCAGGCAGAGGGCCACTGGTAGTAGTTTGTTCTGTAAGAAACAATAATCTCAAAGGGCCCCACTGTCATGTCAGGGGAAAATGTTTGGGCTGAGTGCTTTTTTTGACATGTCGTACTCCATTCATTCTGCTGATCAAGAGTTCAGCAGTGAGTCATACTCATGAAGCATTTATATTTATTCCCTCCCATCCAGAAGGCAGTGAGCCTCACACAACAGAGGACGCAGCGAAGGACACTGGGGTAGACTGTCCAGATACCCACCCCAGCTGGATCATGGGTAACCAGACTGGCAGAGAAAGTCATGGCACTACAGGTACCTGAGGACAAAGGCAAACAACACAAACAATAGCTAGTTTTATTTCAGTTATATTAGATTTTTTTAGACACTTTTCAAAGTACAGGTGATTGAGAATACTGCTGTTTTTAAGTTACTGCACTGCACATGACCAGATTTCTCACACATGCTTGAACAGACAATGGTAATTACACTGAACACAGACTATTTTTAGACTGTTCTCCTCCTGGTTCTAAGACAGAAAAAAATGTCCTCTGAAGTTTTTTCTTTTGTGAAGCTGAGGAGTAGAACGAGCCTTCACACTGAGGTGGGAATCAGCTGAAACATTTGTATTTGTTACTCTTCTGCCTTAAAAAAAGAATGAAAATGCAGAATACAGAATAATGAGGACTTAAGAAGACTGCTGTGTGAACCAGTTTATTTCAGTTGGAGTATGAGCTTTTACTGGCTTTAGCACAAACAAGGTTGAAAATTTCACATCACGATTATCCTGGCCAAAAAAATTGTGATTCACGATATCATCCTGATGATCATCAAAATAAGCCTAAAAATGTTTCTCTCATGTTTTTATCACATCACAGATGGGACATATCTCTTTTTATTGGAAAAACAAAACAATATTTGAAAGCATATCTTTTAATATGAAGTATGCCAATGATTGATTAAGATCTTTGCAGGGTTTTTTGAGGTTGGTGTTCATGCAGCCTTTTTTTTGCAGTCTCTTTTATTATTGGTTGCCAAGCAGTCTCTTTGGGTGCTACTGGACATGATATTCACGATTATCTTGATAATGGAAATTCACCATGATCAACTTACTGTTTTTATTGCGATCCAAGCTAAAATTGTATCATCCCATCCCTACCAAAGACCATTCATCATATCCTTTTGTTTGCCCAATAAACAATGATGCCACAGAACCAGGAATAACACAATACAGATGTTAGAAAGCCAAACTCTTTAATATCTTTGTAAATGTAAAAGCAGATGTGAGCATCCCATTCCCACTGATAGACACTGTAGATGTTCCCTATTTGTTTAAATGAAATTCTTGTGTCAGGCACTGTAAGATCACAGAAACATCTCTTGGCACAGGGGAAGTGATGAATCAGATTTTTTGCAGTGAAACACAAACTGCATCTCAGAGGATTTACTGAAAGTTGGATCCAGCAGCATCACATCTTTTAGTCTCTCTCATGCCGTCAGTATCCTTCGGTTCAAAGCATCGCAGACCAGCTGTCATTTGGCTCGGCTAATGTGTGAAATTGCCCTGAGCAGCTTTACAAGTCGTGTTTGCTAACTGAAGACACTCAGTCTGCCGCTCGGTCGGTTTAATTCTCACTTACAGCTGTTTGAAATGCTGCTGCTTGTTTCCCTCTCTTGGCTGTCAGTATGCAGGAAGTAGACTCAGGCTAGAGGATGAGAATAGCTCCCCTGCTGTAACTGTGCAGACTACATCGTGCCGCTGCGAGGGAAATGATGAGTCTGCAGAATCCTGCAGCACAACACAAGGACAAGGAGGGGTAGCATGAAAAGATCTGAGTCAAAAGAGGTGGTTGCTCCCTGTAGCCTGCCCAAATCTGTTTAGAGACGGTGCACAACATAAACAGCATATTATCAGCATCTTACAGAAAGCACAAAGCTCTAACACTGACAGCTGATGTTTCAGAGTACAGAAGCCACGCCAAACTGCTGAAAAAAATCAGTGAGATCACCCTGAAAAATGTCTTTCAGAGGTTAATGGTTTATGCGGAGTACTGGCAGCGCTGATGATGGGTGTAATCTCCTGGTGGTGGCAGTGAGAGCAGCTGTGAGATAGTAGATCAGGGTAAAAACGCCTCTTCTCCTGGATCTTGCCACATGGGGGAACAGTGTGTGAGTGTTTTCCTGCCAAGACACTGGCAGCAGAGGCTTTTTGCTGCATCAGTCAGCCCAGGACAGTAAATAAGGGAGCAGTGCTTACATCCGCATCGAGGAACAGAAGAGGGGGACTTTGCATTCAGCACATTCTTCTTACGTTAGATCATTTTACGGCTCAGGACGGTTATATTTTCCTCTTTTATCTCTCTGATGTTTGTTTTCTGTTGCTCCTTATCTGTTTTACAATTTATTTTCCCCCCTCTTAGGTTCTCCTTTAGATTTCTTCCACACGCCTCCCACCACACCCTCAGAGGCAGAGCTGACTGCCATGGCCTTATCCTCTGCAGCTTCCTCCAGTAAGGCACAGACACCGTCACCAGCCGGCAGCGCCACCCCCTCCACCACCTCTCCACTGGCAGAATGGACACAGAAACTGTCTGCTCCCTCAGAATGGGCTGTGATAAGCGTGGACAGTGTCAGCTCAGAGACAAAAGTGAGCGATGCAGCAGGGAGGCACGGGAAGGCAGCAGGCAGCCCGGTCAGCCCGGCGTCCCTGCCTGCGTCCAGAGGATCACCTTCAGAGCAGAGCTGGCAGGAGCGGGACAGTGGACTGGAGCCACAGGCTGCAGCAGAGAGAGCCGGAGAGGAGATGACCCTGGTTTTACTCAGTCTGATGGAGCACTACAGGGCCTCACTGGGCCTGTCACCCAACACTGATGTCACGACAGGAGCAGTTGGTAGGTCCATCTTCACTGTTTTGTTTTCTTTAAGACACTAAACTGTTACTGACCTCTGTCGGAGATCAGGAAAAACTGCAAAATGTGGCTCTGCCTTTTATGTAAAGAACCTCCATAAAATATTGAGTGCCTTTATGATTCAGAAGTTGTCTCCACGCGGCTCTCAACAAGGAGGCAGCTAAGGTGGCTAGCGGCTAACAGCATGAACAGTGCTAACAATGGCAACAGTGCTGACAGAGCTAACCAGGGGGGAAATGGAGGGTAGGTGCCATGCTTACACAACGACACAGTCCAGATATCAGCGGTAACTACCGTATGAGCACAGTGCAGAGCAGCGATGATTAACTAGCCATAGGGACTCTCGTGCACTAAAATGCACACACAGCTGGACCGTCTACCACAACAACCAATAAAAGAGCTCGGATTACAACACACACAGGGAGCGTGACTTCATTCTCTGCTCAGGATGCCATCTCTCCACTATATCTTCACATAGCAAAAGTGGATTGCTGTTATATTAATGTTCTGAATATTATATAGAGTTCCTTTAAATCTAACTATAAAGCAAGGAATCACAACCTCCTCGCTATGTGAACAAGTATGAAAAACAATTCTACCTTCCTACTTAGAGATTATTAGCTGTGTCTCAATTCAAGGGCTGCACGTCCTTTGAAGATCGCATCAGCCAAGTCAAACGGTCTCCGAAATGGGACGGTCTGGTCTGGATTTCCTGGTTGCATCACCAGTTGTTCTCGCCCCAACCCGTTGGCATTCCTGTTACCTAGCAACCAGCTGTGCTTGAAGAAAGAAGGAGTAAGCTCGAAGTTAGTTAGCCCTAAATCATGGACCCAAAGATTGTTATATACATACAGTACAGGCCAAAAGTTTGGACACACCTTCTCATTCAATGCGTTTTCTTTATTTTCATGACTATTTACATTGTAGATTCTCACTGAAGGCATCAAAACTATGAATGAACACAAGTGGAGTTATGTACTTAACAAAAAAAGGTGAAATAACTGAAAACATGTTTTATATTCTAGTTTCTTCAAAATAGCCACCCTTTGCTCTGATTACTGCTTTGCACACTCTTGGCATTCTCTCCATGAGCTTCAAGAGGTAGTCACCTGAAATGGTTTTCCAACAGTCTTGAAGGAGTTCCCAGAGGTGTTTAGCACTTGTTGGCCCCTTTGCCTTCACTCTGCGGTCCAGCTCACCCCAAACCATCTCGATTGGGTTCAGGTCCGGTGACTGTGGAGGCCAGGTCATCTGCCGCAGCACTCCATCACTCTCCTTCTTGGTCAAATAGCCCTTACACAGCCTGGAGGTGTGTTTGGGGTCATTGTCCTGTTGAAAAATAAATGATGGTCCAACTAAACGCAAACCGGATGGGATGGCATGTCGCTGCAGGATGCTGTGGTAGCCATGCTGGTTCAGTGTGCCTTCAATTTTGAATAAATCCCCAACAGTGTCACCAGCAAAACACCCCCACACCATCACACCTCCTCCTCCATGCTTCACAGTGGGAACCAGTCATGTGGAATCCATCCGTTCACCTTTTCTGCGTCTCACAAAGACACGGCGGTTGGAACCAAAGATCTCAAATTTGGACTCATCAGACCAAAGCACAGATTTCCACTGGTCTAATGTCCATTCCTTGTGTTTCTTGGCCCAAACAAATCTCTTCTGCTTGTTGCCTCTCCTTAGCAGTGGTTTCCTAGCAGCTATTTGACCATGAAGGCCTGATTGGCGCAGTCTCCTCTTAACAGTTGTTCTAGAGATGGGTCTGCTGCTAGAACTCTGTGTGGCATTCATCTGGTCTCTGATCTGAGCTGCTGTTAACTTGCGATTTCTGAGGCTGGTGACTCGGATGAACTTATCCTCAGAAGCAGAGGTGACTCTTGGTCTTCCTTTCCTGGGTCGGTCCTCATGTGTGCCAGTTTCATTGTAGCACTTGATGGTTTTTGAGACTCCACTTGGGGACACATTTAAAGTTTTTGCAATTTTCCGGACTGACTGACCTTCATTTCTTAAAGTAATGATGGTCACTCGTTTTTCTTTAGTTAGCTGATTGGTTCTTGCCATAATATGAATTTTAACAGTTGTCCAATAGGGCTGTCGGCTGTGTATTAACCTGACTTCTGCACAACACAACTGATGGTCCCAACCCCATTGATAAAGCACGAAATTCCACTAATTAACCCTGATAAGGCACACCTGTGAAGTGGAAACCATTTCAGGTGACTACCTCTTGAAGCTCATGGAGAGAATGCCAAGAGTGTGCAAAGCAGTAATCAGAGCAAAGGGTGGCTATTTTGAAGAAACTAGAATATAAAACATGTTTTCAGTTATTTCACCTTTTTTTGTTAAGTACATAACTCCACATGTGTTCATTCATAGTTTTGATGCCTTCAGTGAGAATCTACAATGTAAATAGTCATGAAAATAAAGAAAACGCATTGAATGAGAAGGTGTGTCCAAACTTTTGGCCTGTACTGTATATATTTTTAATTTATATACATGAGGAGATGATTCACCACCGGAGATATCGCCGTTTGATTTATTTCAGGCTGGTGGAGGACCCTTCTCGGTCTCAGACTGTTTAAGCTGAGTGCTTTTAGCTAATACTTATGTTAACAACAGTTAACCATTAGCTAGTTAACAACTTTTAGTTAACTTGATATATAATCGTCACTGGCGCGCAATGCATCTTGGGATAGGCTGGGCCACAAAGGATTTATCCATTGCATCTTCCAAATTCTGGGAAAGAAGCCTCCATTTTTTTGGCCTTTGAATCAGGCTTTCATTTGGAACCTTTGAAATGGGACGGCCTTGGTCACGCTGATGTAACACAATCAGTCTTCAAATGCAGCCTTTGAAGGCTGCAGCCCCTGAATTGAGACATGGCTATTGATAACTTGTTGAAAACTGTCCCTGTGATTCCTTGGATTAATTCAGATTCATGTGACTGTGATTTAAAAGTGCAACAAGGATGTTTTTGGGGTAGTCTTGCACAAGTGAATTAATGCAGCATATAGATTAAGTAAATGGACAGAGAAGGAGGAGCAGAGGTTCTTCAGTGATGTTGTATTTGCTTGCATGAGACACATTTAAGAAAATGATCAAAATCAAAACATCAGAGGCCAGGTGGGTCAGGTCCAGAAACACTGGATCCAACATTTCTCAAGCAGCTCAACAATAGCATCTTTGCCTGACAAATGCCTGCTTACCAACTCCATTCTTCCTTTGGTAATCCAGACTTTTGGCTAAAAAAAAAATGTAGTCTTCAAGGTTTACAGGGATGTTATTAGTCCTTCCTGTTTTGTTAAAGGTATTGTACGCAGGAATTTTTGGCTGCTCTTTGTAAACACCATTGAGTGAAAGTGTAAGCCAAACCCAGCTTTGTCCATTTGGTGTTTCACCTTGCTGTATTTGAGTTTTTTTCTGCGCTTTGTCCACAATTTTGCCCTAAATGCAGCTATCAGACTTCTAAATCTATTTTGACTTAACCTTGTGTGCTTATTTTGTTTGAATTGTTTTTCAGAGCTGCTCAGGCGCTTGATAACAGAGAGAGATGAGCTGGTGGAGGAGGTGGACACACTGAAGGAGACACTCAGGGTGAGTCGCAGGCCCTGTGACACCCTGAGGCCCTAAAATGTCCTGAACCTCACAAACATTTATTGGTTGTGCAACAGAGACTTTGTTGTATAATGAATAAAATCTTAAATTCTAAACTTGAATTTACTTTTTCTTTGGCACTGTTGTCTTTAAACTATTAGTCATGTAACGTCACTTCAGTATATGTATTCAAATAGCCTTGGAGAACAGAATTTATACAAATATTCATATGTTACAGAACAAGCAGCTTTTATATTTAGAATACAGTATTTATTCTCCATTTGGTCCTCTTTCTTTTGTCCTCCACGACAGACTGAGAGGTCGGAGTGGCATCAGTTCCAGTGCGACCTGCAAGTTGCGGTGTCTGTGGCCGACAGGCTGCGGGTGGAGTCGGACCAGGCTCTGGGTTTGCTCCAAGAGAGCCACAGGGCCGTGGAGGAGCAGCTGGCCCAGGCCCTTAGCAGACAGCAGGACACGGACAGGGAGCTGGAGAGTCTGAGGGCCGAGCACAGAGACGTCTGCTGCAAACTGACTGAACTCACCTTGCAGCAGCAGCAGGAGCGAGCCGAGCTGGACGCTCTGAGGGACGCGTGCCGGGTGAAAGACACGACAGACTGTGATAAACGGGCAGAGAGACGAGACTCTGAGGAGGGGCAGGGGGAGGATACACAAAAGGTTGTGGAGGAAAAAGTCAACACAGAAGCTAGAAATGCTGAAAAACAAGAGGAGGAGAGTGACACAAAAGAGGTGGATGCTCAAGTTGTAGATCATGATCCTGAGGAGGCGAATGGATCAGGGAGCACGCAGCTGAAAGGGAAAGGAGTGGCAGAGGGATACCTGCGCAGTTTGGCTGCCCTGGAGAAGAAGAAAGATGGGAGGGATCCGAGGAGGATTGTCATGCTGTCTGAAAGATCATGGTGAGTCTACATCAACACTGACAACACACACCCCTATTAACAAAAGACAGTTTTATAAAACATTCAGATAAATGTCTTGCAGGAGTCTTTCTCGTCTCCCGCTTCCATCTGACTCCTCCAAGGAAAATGGCACCTCAAAAAACACAAGCACAACACTGCCGCTGTGTAAGGTACAGCACTTGAAAAGTATTCTATCACAGTAATATGGATGATATCTGAGTGATTAGGGAGTTAGGAAACACTTATATTACTGTGGAATAATTCTAGGCATTTGTAGAATCAGTCTCGTAAACCTTTCCAGAAAGAAGAGCCGCCGAAACAAAGGAGGCTGGACCAGATTTTGCAGCGTCAGGACAGCTGGTCCAGCTTTTACACAGGTGAGCTTAAAACCGACAGCACTTAACACCTTAATGTTCTTTTGGACAGCTCAAGTAAGTTGTAAGAGTGTGGCTGCGTTTTTTGTCTTGCAGGAAAACAGGATGAGGACCAAAGCTCAGATTTCATCAAGTAAGTGACTCTTAGGCTCTTTTTCTTTGTTGATACTGACATCTCAACAGACCGTAAAAAGATGGAGAGGCTGATAGATGTTTAGCATGACTGAGTCGCAGTAGCATTTTCAAGTCGACCATGAAATCACACTCAAACCTAGCCACAATCTAATCATCATTATATGTGGTTTACTTTTCACTGTATAGTTTTATTGTTGTCCCTTATGTTCTGTGTTTAAACACTCTGTTACTATGTAAAGAATCAAGTTGTTCTTAAAACTGTAGTGAAAGCTGTTCTTGCCTTCCCAGATCTCAGGATGGTTTCAGTGCTCTGCTGAGGCGTCATGGCGGCTCCAGAAGAAACTCCCTGCTGCGCTGGTCCCAGGGTCGTACCCAAGGTTATAAGGTCAGAGAGGAGGTGGCCACCATTGTTGAAATATTTCAGCCCAGTCGCCAAAATAAAATGTTGGCAGTGTACGTTTCTGCAAACCACTGATGTGTAACATTTGTACATTTCATATGTATCATAGCAACATTTCTAAAGTGATGTAGTTCAGGTTACATGTGTACGAGCTGAGTTTGTCATCAGGAGGAGGAGGGGATAGTAGATGGGGTGAGACGTGTTTGTGGCGACCAGAACACGGTCTTTTTCTGACCCTAACTGTTATGGGTTTTTTTGTCTTAACTTCACAACACATTAACCACAGCATTGTTGCAACATAAAATTCAAGCGTAAAGAAAAGTACAGTTTCAACATACCCCCTCCATTTGAAACATACAAATTTAACATATCTGAGGTTTGCAGAAACATTCAATGCCAACATTTATTCTGGCAGCTGTTTTCAAATTTGTCACAATCTGTAAAATTTAAGAATAATTCAGTGTGAGCAACAAAAACACCTTTTTCACCAGTTATATTTTGTCTTCATCGTGTATGTTTTTTTCTGCAGAATATTGAGATCACAAACTTCAGCAGCAGCTGGGAGGATGGCTTGGCGTTCTGCGCCATTTACCACACATATTTACCCACTCACATCCTGTACGACACCCTCGACCCAGCAGACAAGGTAAAACTGCTGATTCTCAAACAAAAGAAACGCATGTAATGAGCAGATTATGTTTAAATTATTTTATTTACAAAGACTTTTGACTCAAGCACAAGTGTCAAACATCTTTACAGAGAGAGAAAAAAATTAGCTATCCAGCTATACTCCACGGTGTCACTCAGGGTGTGTCAGATCATAAACTCTGACTGTAAAAGAACCAAAAATCACTTGTACTCACTTTATTAAAGTGGAACTAGACTTTTTTTGCTTTAACTTATGAAGTAAATGTTGATTGCACAACATAATGGCTATAGAAAAATTACACCATCAGTGTTTAGATTGGTTCCCTATAAGCTTCACTTTTACCATGAAATGCTGTCCGCCACCAGGTACGATCTTCTGAGAAAATGAAGGCTCGTTTTGTTGCATAAAGGAAGTGTGTCAACCATTGTGCAACCAAAACAGGAAGAGGATAGCACTTAAGTTTTCCCTGGTAGCTACCAATAGCTATCCCCAGTTACCAAAGACTATCTATAATGATAACAATAAATTTATACTTTATTAATCCTGCAAGGGGAAATTCATTTTTTTTAAAGATTTTTTTTTCAGGGCTTTTTGCCTTTAATGGACAGAGACAGGGTGAAATGAGGAGACAGAGAGAGTTGGGGGATGACATGCAGAAAGGGTCGCAAGCCGGAGACGAACTTGCGACCGCTGCGGCGGCGATGAATCACCTTTGTATATGGGGCGCTGGCACTATCCACTACCCTACCGACACCCCAGGAAATTCATTTTTTCACTCTGTTTTATTTATATATACACACAGGCCCAAGTTCACACATACTGATATTTGATACTCATTTCGATTGTGTAAAAATCAAATAAATAAATAAATAAAACATGACATGAACATACAAACAAGCCGACAGACAGACTGAAAGTAGTATTTACAAAAAATGAAAATCATAATTAAACCAATTGTCAGTTGTAGTTACTTTGATTTACACATGTGTCAAGTATGAAGGGATGTCAGAGCAAGGGGGGGCTGCCTCATAGTATGGCGCCCTCAGCAGTTTGGGGTTCAATACCTTGCTCAAGGGGCACTTAAGTGTAAGTTCTCTGCAGTTATATCCCCTGTAGCAGAATTGGTGGACGGTGCAACAACCAAAGTAACTGTGGAAACTCTTTCAAGGAAGAGACCCTTGTTGCTAGGCTCTGAGGCAAACAGAAAGCAGTCTAGTTGTCTTAGCGACAGCAGTGCCCACAATAATACCTTTTGGAAACGCTAGGAGGGAAAACTGTGTCTGTTTCCACTCTAACGATGAAGGTCTGAGGACCGAACTATTGTTAATAGAGTGAGTACAAGTGTGCAGGATGTTTTCGGTGGGAGGCATGTGTGTAAAAATGTGAACCTGAACATTTAAAAGCTGCTTCTGACTCAAATGTTTTTACAGAAGGAAAATCTGGACCTCGCTTTTAAGACAGGAGAGAGTGTTGGGATCACAGCCACACTGGTGAGACATATTACACTTCCGGTGCTTTTGGTAAACATGTGGAAAGTTACAAACTGTGCAACTGTAACCAGCTGTGTCCAGTGGTCTTATGATCTCATGCTGACTGTGTGACAGACGGTGGAGGAGATGCTGAAGGCAGACGGGCCGGACTGGCAGAGGGTCCTGGGTTACGTCGAGAGCATTTTCCGTCACTTTGAGATGTGAAGTTGTTTCTCTTGTCTCTCTTGCCTGGTCCTTTTCCATCATTGTGACTGTGGGACTGAAACACCACCAGAGGGAGCTCTACTCGCACTGAACTCTGCAGACGGGATTTAAAGTGTGTCAGCAATATTAGACTTTATGACATTATTTTATTTATCAATACGATGTCCTTTGCACAGAAACAACTCGGATGGAAGAAACTGAACCTTGGACTGTTTTTACTTTGTATGTACTATCTATTCAGATCCAAACAGCTGCTGGGTGATAATGCACAATACACTGAAAGATTTTAAACCACTACACGACTTTACTTTCACATTTGTTACTGGGTGCACTGGTTTTGCACTGTTTGTCTTTTTTAAAAAATATGAGCACTTTATGATTGTTAACTTGCGTTATATTTTTAAAAGGATGGTTTCAGAATTTGGGCACTTAAATTATTTTTTATCATGGAGCTCTCCTGCCGTTATACAGTGTTATCATGTCTGCATGCACCCAAACCTAAAAGCCACAAACAGAGGATGGGGGCAGACATGAACCCAGATTTTATATACTGGAATGGTGATCTATAAACACTACAGTATCTGTCGAAGAAAAAAATGCCTTTGAGGATATGTATACATGTAAATGTGTGCGCTTCAGTATTTTTAAAAACATGGTAAACATATGAAGATGTTGTTGCCAAAGCCTTATCACAATAATAAAGTTATGTATATGGAAACTGCCCCAAAAACATCTTCTCTATTAACACCACACACACAGATTCACAGAAAACATTTTAATATATAACAATGACATTTGATACATCTGACAGCATATAAAAATGGTATTAAAATTATACAAAAAAAGAGATGGCATTAAAGGAAATGTTAACGTCATAAGAAAGTGGTCATAATGTAACATGCAACAAATAAATACTGAAACGTTTAAAACGCAATAACTTAACACGTTTTGCAAGAATGTTTTAAATTAAACCGTGATGAAGATAAAGTACGACTTTCATCGTTGTTGGAACATAGTAGTGTGTCAAGTTTGAAAGTATAAATTTTACATAATTTCTCAAGAAAACCAGATGATAGACAAGAGCATGGAATAACGGTGTGTTCATGTTGATCCAAAGTGTCTGATCAAAGTAACCTCGCAGGTGACCGATGAATGTGAAGAAGTCCTATGAAGCTGGAATGGCGCCTCCTATAGGTGGTGTTGACAGCGGCGGCAGGAGGAGAGACTTCAGTTTAACCGACATGGCTGCAATTTCAGGGTCCTGGGTTTCATACATCTTCACCAGTCTGGCAAATTTTAGGACACCTGGAAGTGAAGCAGAGCCGAGATCAGTGTGATAAAATGTACCAGGAGGAACAAATGATCTACGTGAGTACAGTACCTTAATATCTACATAAATATTTCTATAATGTGAGTAGTGTGGGGTAGACATTTGTGACTTTTAGGTGATTTTCATACACAAAATATTCAGAGAAAAATTGAAAGTAATATGTTTATTCCTCTCAGCTTGAGTAGGTAAGCTTGTAAAATTTTGTTATTTAACTGCACCGCAACATTTAAGACAAATAAAGAATTAACATATAATGACCAAATCTCATACAATATTAAGTTTCAAATCATGTCATTAATATTATATCAATCTGGGCTCTAGTGAATACCATGATGAACTGTGGTCTGAAGAGTTGCCAGAGGTTCAATCCTGTGGTGAAATATTCCTTCTATTTGTATGTATTTCTGCTAAAAGCTCCCTTCTACCTGACACATCAGCATGTAGTCAGAGAACTTAAGGTGCCTCGTGCTCACCCTCTCCTTCATTGTTGAAGCCGTAAGCTTTGATGACCTCCTGTTGAATCTGGGTGGCCACGGGGAGCACAAGCTGCAGCATCTTGCCCATGTCGTTGCAGGCACTTTCTCGAGCCTCCTCCATCCTCGCAGCGTTTTCTGGTACCGAGAATGCCTGGATCACCTCACTCAGCACCACTGTGGAAGACATAAAACATCAGTGGTTGCTCTGCTTCTGCAGCATGTATACACGTATATCTGCACAGCAAGTAGATTACATTAAATTACATTAAGACGGTTTAATATGCTGGAAGTGCTTGTCCTATATTTACTCAGCAAAAATGATGTGGGGCTCCTAATGAAAGACCAGAAGAGGTAGAAAAGGTGTTCTCACCTCTGGTCTGCTCAACAGTGAGGGTGGGCTGCTGTGCTGGAGCTGAGGCCATGTCTGCAGAGAAAAGAGAAAACATGATGTAAAGTATGTATGAATAGATGGTTTAAAAGGATGGTTTTACTGTTTTAGACAAAATTTAATACTTGATATCTGCTGGGTTGCTTAAACAAAAATGAAGTAACGTGGGTTGTAATTGAAACGATTAGTTGATCAATCGATTAGTCTGTTAGTTATGTATGAGTATGAGTATTACCAGAACATTTAGAAAAGTTGTTTTTATTTCAGAGGATGAGGATCATAGAATGACATTTCACTTTAAGCACCAGTTTGCACAGATTCATCAGTTAGAAATTGGTGTTAAAATCACTGGAGTTTCAGCCACCCCCCGACACATCATCAGTTGTGCACCTCAACATCATCAGGTGTTTTGGCTTTTACCACAAGACATCCTCCGTTGGGGGAGGCCCACCACAGGCTGATGAGGCCTGGGTGTGTGTCAAAGGGGTTGGCTCCTCCGTGGTCACCCAGGAGCCCAGAGGGGATCCTTTCTCTTCAGCCATAGCTAGTGACTGCACCTCTCAGCTGTGTTGGACAGATCCTTGATCACTTTGCTCTGGGCCGCACCTCAGCTTTCCAGTGTCTAGTCACCGCTTCCATTATGAGGTCAGCATAGCGCAGTCTGTTATGTTCAAGAGGCAGGGAGGAGGCAAGAGGCTTGATACTTGTTTTTCTCCTTCCCAGAGGAAAAATGCAGACTGTTGAACGTGCTGCAACTCCAGGGATTGTAACACCAAGTCCTAACTGATGAATTAAGCACCAGTTTGCACAGACTACACTGAAGCAGATGTGTGCTTAAGTGTTTGGTGTCACATGGAATTTTCTACAGCATTGTATAAATATTTTTCAGTTCAAGAAAATATACAACAGAAAGAACAATTTGACTAAATGAAGTTGGCGGGTATGAACTGTCTCCTTGTTGAAGGTGATTTACTGAGTGTGGCTCTCAATTCTCCGTTATTTTTTTCCTTTCTGAAGTAAGCACTGATTGTAAAGTCGCTGTAACTGACAAATAATCTATTTATTTTGTTTATTTCTGTTTTTTACACACAGTACAGGCCAAAAGTTTGGACACACCTTCTCATTCAATGCGTTTTCTTTATTTTCATGACTATTTACATTGTAGATTCTCACTGAAGGCATCAAAACTATGAATGAACACATGTGGAGTTATGTACTTAACAAAAAAAGGTGAAATAACTGAAAACATGTTTTATATTCTAGTTTCTTCAAAATAGCCACCCTTTGCTCTGATTACTGCTTTGCACACTCTTGGCATTCTCTCCATGAGCTTCAAGAGGTAGTCACCTGAAATGGTTTCCACTTCACAGGTGTGCCTTATCAGGGTTAATTAGTGGAATTTCTTGCTTTATCAATGGGGTTGGGACCATCAGTTGTGTTGTGCAGAAGTCAGGTTAATACACAGCCGACAGCCCTATTGGACAACTGTTAAAATTCATATTATGGCAAGAACCAATCAGCTAACTAAAGAAAAACGAGTGGCCATCATTACTTTAAGAAATGAAGGTCAGTCAGTCCGGAAAATTGCAAAAACTTTAAATGTGTCCCCAAGTGGAGTCACAAAAACCATCAAGCGCTACAACGAAACTGGCACACATGAGGACCGACCCAGGAAAGGAAGACCAAGAGTCACCTCTGCTTCTGAGGATAAGTTCATCCGAGTCACCAGCCTCAGAAATCGCAAGTTAACAGCAGCTCAGATCAGAGACCAGATGAATGCCACACAGAGTTCTAGCAGCAGACCCATCTCTAGAACAACTGTTAAGAGGAGACTGCGCCAATCAGGCCTTCATGGTCAAATAGCTGCTAGGAAACCACTGCTAAGGAGAGGCAAAAAGCAGAAGAGATTTGTTTGGGCCAAGAAACACAAGGAATGGACTTTGCTTTGGTCTGATGAGTCCAAATTTGAGATCTTTGGTTCCAACCGCCGTGTCTTTGTGAGACGCAGAAAAGGTGAACGGATGGATTCCACATGCCTGGTTCCCACTGTGAAGCATGGAGGAGGAGGTGTGATGGTGTGGGGGTGTTTTGCTGGTGACACTGTTGGGGATTTATTCAAAATTGAAGGCACACTGAACCAGCATGGCTACCACAGCATCCTGCAGCCACATGCCATCCCATCCGGTTTGCGTTTAGTTGGACCATCATTTATTTTTCAACAGGACAATGACCCCAAACACACCTCCAGGCTGTGTAAGGGCTATTTGACCAAGAAGGAGAGTGATGGAGTGCTGCGGCAGATGACCTGGCCTCCACAGTCACCGGACCTGAACCCAATCCAGATGGTTTGGGGTGAGCTGGACCGCAGAGTGAAGGCAAAGGGGCCAACAAGTGCTAAACACCTCTGGGAACTCCTTCAAGACTGTTGGAAAACCATTTCAGGTGACTACCTCTTGAAGCTCATGGAGAGAATGCCAAGAGTGTGCAAAGCAGTAATCAGAGCAAAGGGTGGCTATTTTGAAGAAACTAGAATATAAAACATGTTTTCAGTTATTTCACCTTTTTTTGTTAAGTACATAACTCCACATGTGTTCATTCATAGTTTTGATGCCTTCAGTGAGAATCTACAATGTAAATAGTCATGAAAATAAAGAAAACGCATTGAATGAGAAGGTGTGTCCAAACTTTTGGCCTGTACTGTATATACATATATTCTTCCTGCTCCTTTTCAGTCATTAAATGTGTTGTTTTGATTGTATAATTTCAGTTTTGGGCATTAACATGAGCAGAATAAAATTAAATGGAAATTAATCAACTGACATAAAATCAGTCTGCAAATATTTTCATATTGGATTAATTATTTAAGTCATTTTTAGTGCTCTTCTACTGTGATGATGATCTGCTTTTCTCTTTTAATCATTGTAGCCTCAATATATTTGGGTATTTGTGTTTTGAACGGTTGGTCATGCAAAGCAAACAATCTGAAGATGTCATCTCAGGCTCTGATAAATATTAATGAGCATTTTCATCATTTTATACTTTGTGATCAGTAATAAAATGATTGCTAGCAGCCCTTCGTCGTTGTTTTATATACGAGATTAAAAGAGAGATGATACAAATAACCCTGATATAAATAAATAATTATATTTAACAGTATACAAATAAATATTAGCTTATCTATATGTAGCGTTAGATCTATATACTTTGCTGTAGCTGATTTATGGTAGGTGTTGGCTCAGTGGTGCTAAACTTGAATGCATGACGTAAACCTCCATCCAGCTGCCGTAAGATGAAGATCTCTATCGTTTAAGTCTGATTAAAATTAGTTACTGTAAAGTTAAATAAGTCAGTCACATGAATCATAAAGATCAGTGTGGTTGTGTTTATGAGCTGAATGTTGGTCCAGTGTCTGAAACATCGACCATTTACTTTTCTCTCTGTCGACAGCTTTAACTGTAGCTTCAGCTAACGTTAGCTTAGCATACGGTTACCAACAGCAACAGCAGTTAAAACACACACATTAACGACAGGTTTAACCACTGAATATTAAAATGCAGAGATTTGTGAACTCACCACTGGTGAAAACGACCTAGCTAGTCGCAGACCTGTGAAAATTTGCCAAGAGGAAACAAACCGACAGTTTTTACGACACTTCAAAACGTTTTGCGACACAACTTCCGTCTTTCAGACAGACGCGGAAGTAAATGGTAAACAAACGCCTCGCTGAGCTGTTAGCACGATGAAATCTCTCCAAGATGTCGTTGAAGTGGAAGTTTAAATGAATGACAGTCAGCGGTATTGTATGTGACAGCGTGTTAAGATATTTAGAAGCAAAATTGATATTAAGAGGTTTTGGATGCTGTCGCAGTAGCAGCTGTTTTGCCACGTACACCTGATAACGTCAGTGTAAACTAATGGAGCAGAAGCTGGCAGAGTTCAGAGCCAGACGACAGGCTGAAAGCACCGTGAAGAAGAGTGCTGATCCGCCGTGCAGAGCACAGGCAGAGGCGGACACAGATGCTCAGACTCACACAACATCAACTACTGACAGTCTGCAAACAGAAGAGACGGGAAATACCACAGCTACAACTCAGAGCCCCCAGAGGAAGGTGAGACATCAGCTGGATAATGTTTCACCTTTTAGTCCTGTCATTAGGGAATGTTCGTAACTTAGTGGAAGGGGTGGAAAAGGGGGAGGCATGTCATTTTTTTAAGCACTGGGGAGGGAGTTAGCATCATGTTTTTTTTATTTTGTCTGAGGGGATGAGCATTCCATTTTAACTGGCTGTATTTTGTTTTAATTTTACCACTGATTTTTAAAGACAACATGCCGGGTTTGAAAGGCATGTTTTCTTTTTAAAAACAGTAAAATTACACTATTAATTATAGCCAGAGACTGTAAAAACAGCAATCATCATTGGATTTTCCAACGGTCCTTAAATATATGTGGACGAACACTTCCATCAGGAAAAAATGAAAAATAAGATAAACAAATTTGAGCTTAAAACAGTTGTATTTTATCAAAATCTCTTTATTCGACATATCTCATCTTTTACACTTTTACATTTACACAAACTAACCAGCATGCACAATAAGAGTGAAAAACCAAGGCTTTTTTTAAACTTCAAGATTTTGCTGCATATAGACCAGTCAGAGTCTGATGCAGTGCTTCTTGAGAGTGCTGTGTAAATACATCTACATACTAGTTGGTTTATAATAGGTGTTATTTAAAATGTCACGTAAATTAAATGGAACAAAACGCCTACAGTCTCCTGTCACATGGCCTGTTTTGTGCCCAGACCCACTTTAACCCTCCTGTTGTGGCTTCTGTGCAGGACCGCAGTGACTGGCTGCTGGACAGCGCTCTGGGAAGATGGCTGGCCTCGAGACAAATTGTCCTCTCAAACATTATTTTGCTCAAACTGCTGCTGTGGCTGGTGCTGCTCGGTCTGTTTGTCGAACTGGAGTTCGGGCTGCCTTTCTTCGTCATCTCGCTCTTCTACTGGCTCTATGAGGGACTCCGTAGCCCCGCTGCTCGTGAGCCTGGAGAACTGAGCGCTTATTCTGTCTTCAACCCGGACTGTCAGCCTCTGCTGGGCTCTCTCACTGCAGAGCAGCTGGAGGGAGAGATGGGTTACAGACCTCTGGCTAACAGATGAAGCAACTGTGATTTGCACACTTATATTAAATATCAACACCCTGTTGTCCTCTGAAAAATGTTAATTATGTTCAGGAAAATACAGGGACGTACAATAATGGTTTCAGTTCATTATTTCTAACACATTAAACTGAGATTGGTCTATGCACAGTTCACTCCTTCCTGTTTCCTCTTTGAAGCAGTTTAATGGTGTTATCACTCCAGGTTGTGGAAGACAGATATGCTACGTCAAATATTTGTTACGTAGTACACAATATAATGGGTGACCTTTTCTTCAAAATCTGTCTCTTATTTTAAACTTTTACTTCAATCTCCTCTAGTAATTAGCAAGGGTGCGCTGGAAAATGTTGGAATGGTATTTAGGAGTGAACTGGGGAGAAACAGCAGCTCAGCCTGAGTCAGATATACTAAAAGGATAAGGGACAAACTGCCTTTAATTCATGAGAAAAATGTTGTTTACTTGAACTAAACAGTTTTCCAAGTTTAATAAACAACTCTCATGCAACAAGCAGTTTTGTATTTTGTCTCTAGGCCTCGGTATCACAAATAACAAACACACTGAGGGTAATGCATCACACATTTTGGTTTTGCAGCTTTGTTTTTTTTTAGGGGGGGGGGTTCTGCCTCCACACCAGTGACAGCTGTGGACAGAGGCATTATGTTTTCAGGTTGTCCATCCATACATCCTGTTCTTGAGAAAACAATTTCCCAAGAATGCCTTTAGGAAATTTCTTAAAATTTGGCACAAATGTCCACTTGGACTCGCATGTACTGATTACAGTTTGTTGGTCAAAGGTCACTGTGACATTCAGAAACATGCTTTTGGCCATAACTCAAGAATTCATAAGCTAACTATGACAAACTTTATCACAAATCACTAATCAGATAAAAAGATGAGGTGATGATATTTTATTTCCAGAAGGTCAAAGGCTAATTCCACTGTGACATCGTAATGTCCTGCAAAAGCACTTTCCTGACCATTACTCCATGTCATAACTCAGGAACAGAAGAGATGTTCAGAAACTGAACTGGTGACACTAATCTTGAGTGCCCACCGTGAAAATGTATTGATTGTATAGATCTTCTGTGTTACTGAGGTGGGAACATGTGTGAAGCATCCATGTTTTAATGGATGTGGATGTAAACTGTAAGTGCAACTTGATGGGTTTGCGGAGGCATACAACCATCTAATTTTTTTTAAATATATTTATATAATAAAGTCATGCTCGTTTCAACATTCAAGAAATGTTCATGCAAGACTCACAATGGAACTTTATTGATAAAAGTAATGTGTTGAGCTTAAAAAGAAATCTTTGTAGAAAAAATGTAAAGCAAGATTATGTCTTTTTACTTCTAAAGAAAATCGGCGGAGACTTGGAACCATAATAAAACTTTTAGCACAGAGAGAATAACTTTCATCGACAAAATGAGAGGCTTCCCTGCCTTCTACTTCCGTATTTGCTACTTCCGCATTAGCCGTTAGCTCCGTCAAAGATACAGTTTAGGACTAACATGTCGGACAAACCGTTATGTTTTTTATTACTGTTATATTTAAGCCGATATTAGCGTCCTGTTAAGCGTATAATTAGTCAGCAGATGTCACTTAATGCAATGATACGCTATCTTGCCAGCGGTAGCATACTATTTGTCTTCCGGGTGGGCAGGTAACTATCTTGACAATTCATTTCAGCTCTTTGGGTGAAAGAACTCGCACTTCCGGTATCTCCCAAATTCAACTGATCGGACCCGTGAAAGCTGTCTGGTGTCTTTCTCTCTGTGTCAACATCAGTAAGTATTAAACTCACATCTCCACCACGACTTTCTACTGAACATTTGATGATATTTTTGGGTTAACATCTCTGTTTTAGCTAGCTATCAACAGTAGCAAGTTAGCTAATAGCCGGAAGGACAGAACTGTGCTTATTTTTCTGACAGTTTACAGCTTTGTTTAATTAGCTAGCAAATCTAGGTGATATAAATATAAATGTAAATCATACACAGACGTTGAGTATGAAAGTACATCTCAAAGTAGAGCTCATTTTGTGAAGTAATCAGGTGAATCAAGTCATGCCATTTACATTTCATTTCCTATTTTTTGTTAAATATTAACAGATTTTTGGAGTTTTAGGACAGATTGCAGGAGGTGCTGCAGTTAATTTTTTCAAGATATCCTCAGGTTTATAATCACAGTCTATGGTGACTGATCTCAACTCCATTACTAACTCAAGAGGCTGTATATTAAAGGCACTGGCCGTGGTTTTTATTGTGTCCACTAACCAGTGTTTGCTCTGTGTATCAGAAATGTCTGCAGGTCCTGCTGTGGTGATGAGGGTGGTGGCTTCAGCCTATGCTGTGGCTGAGAAGGCCGGGGCCATTGTGAGGAAGGTGCTTCACAGTGGAGAGCTTGGCATTGTGGAAAAGGTGGGACCAATTTATAATATAGGGACTGGACTGAAATAAATTGTTTATCATTTGCTTATTACCTCCATGTATCCCTGCACAGACCGGAGCTAACGATCTGCAGACACTGGCAGACAGACTGGCACAGCAGAGCATTTGTGCGTCACTTTCCAGACGTTTTCCCAAACTCACCATCATTGGAGAGGAGGTGAACACATAAAACTCTTTGTTTAATGTGCTGGTAAAATGCGGTCCATGCACACCCACCCATACAAGATTATTCTAGTATTAGACTTGATGATTGCGTTGTTTATTAGGAGCTCCCAGCTGAGGAAATAAAGGAAGATCTTATTGAGAGCGGCCACTCAGAGGAAATCCTTCAGAAGACATGTCCAGCAGAGTATAGCGGGCTGAAAGAGGAGGAGGTAACCGCTATATATGTTATTAAGTTGAGTTGAATAAAGTAGTATTGTCTATGTATAATATTTGTTATACAGAGGTGCAGTACAGTTGTATCAATACATAAATGTACTTGTGCTAAGTGTTTCTCTCTGAATCTCAGCTAGTTGTGTGGGTCGATCCCCTCGATGGCACAAAGGAATACACTGAAGGTAGGCTCCTCTTTAAAAAAAACGCTGTCTCTATGTGTTTGTGTGTGTGTAAATGTGTGTGAACTGTCCAGGTCGTGGTTCAGAAACTCACCAAACAAACACATTTAGTAACAAAGTGACTGCATCAGCTTATATTGAAGGCGTTACAGAACATTGCAATAGCTACATGCACCACATTCTCATGTTGCCACTTCAACCAGCCTGACACTGCACCCTGAACCTTACCTAATCTTTTATTTTTAGAGTCAGCAGCAGCAGCAGCATACTAAAACTACTAAAACTAAAATAAAATAAGTTACTAGATAATAAAGGCATCACCACATTACTATTTCTTAAAGTAGTTAAGTGATTACCTTGCAAGCGTTGTGCCATTTTAATAACTGATTAGATAATAACTATTCTGACTAGAAGTGTAATACCAGTATTACATTTTCTGCATTAGTTCAAGCTACTTTATTAATAGTTGCTATTGGTAACCATAAGTTATGATATACTTTCCTAATGAAGTAATCATATTCAGTTTATGTGACCATGCAAAAAAAGGTGTGTCATTGTAAAGACATAATGAATGAGGTTGAGCCTCTGAGTGTCACGATGATGTACCATGTAAAGTGTTGTTGCTATGGTAACAGGTTAAGATTCACAAGGGATGACCCACTGACCTTATTAAGCAGATGGAGTGTTGGACAGACATGACAGAATCACATTAAAAATCAGCTACTTCATCAAAGTCAGTACAAAAGTCAGATCACTGGTATCTGATCAGTTCTCTATTGGCAGGTAGACTGAGTCCAATTATTGGAATTTGGACAGATAAGTGTGATCGGTCTGTCCTCAAATATCACCCATCAGCACTGATTAACAGCAGCAGATAAACCTTTGACTTAAACGTCTGTTCCTGAAATACATCTTTTAAAGGCAGCTTTTTATTCATTATATAATATTAAAGGGATAGTTCAGATATTTTGAAGTGGGGTTGTATAAGGTACCCATAGGCAGTGTATTACATGTAGAAGAAGGCAGTCGCCACGCTCCCAGTTTGGAGAAGCAGGCAGGAGTACTGACCTATTGCTAAGCAATGAAATGCTGTGGAGGGGGCAGCAACAAAACCATTTTAGCTACCTAAAAAAAAAAAACACTTTAAGTTTAAGTGTGTGCTATATGGAGAATATTTTTACTGCTTTGCCTTGCTGTCAGACAGCCATTTCCAATTGGATAATGAAGCAGTTATATCGCTCTCCTCAAAGCCAGACTCCATTGAGAAAAACAGTAATTTAACATCTCTGAACACAGGAGCTGCTGGTCTACCGCTGCCTCGATCGGTTGGTTAGTTTGTGTTAGCGTTTTTGTCAATGGAGTCTGGCAGCTCTCAAAACAGCATAGAAGTGTAACTGAAGCCGTAAATGGCTTCCCCCTCAGAATGGGGCATCTGCAGCAAGATAAAGTGGTGAAAATATTTTAAACATAGCATACACAAACTGTTATAGATTTTTTTTAGGTGGCAAAAATATGTTTTGCTGCTGCCCCTGTCCACAGCAGTACATTGCTAAGCTTTTGTGTCAGTTCTTCTGTCTGCTTCTCCAAACTGGGAGCCTGCCGAACTATCAGAACTATCCCTTTAACAGGTAGTCTTTAATTGGTTAAATATTTTCTATGCACCATTGGTCGGGTTGCTTTCTGTCTCTCAGCTTTCAGAGCTTCACTGTCACTTTTACCTTTTTCTTTTACTTCTCTGTGTATCCCCACTTCTTCTCTTTCCCTCTGCTGACCCCAGCGTCGAGGTGTCTACACCACCACACTGAGGCCCAGATACCAAACAAATGGTTGGACACCTCTCAGCTTCACAGCACAGCTCTCTGTATGGAAACTGATAGAAAGATTTACCCTGGCAGCATATATTATTACTTATTCTGCACCAATACGGAAGCTTCATTATAACTTCTTGTCCTTTTCTTTCTGTCCAGCCTGTAATTTCCACAATGACAGCTACATGTAACTGGCCATATTACAAATATTTGTTTTTAAATTAAGGTGCATTAAAGTTAATGGCTGTAAGTGGCCTCCAGCTAAAAACCTGCTGTGTTCTGATTGAAGGGCTCCTGGATAATGTGACAGTGCTCATTGGTATCGCATACGGAGGCAAAGCTATAGCAGGTGTCATCAACCAGCCTTTCTACAACTACCAGGTACAGACTGAACTGTACGATCTTGTAGCTGCGACATCCCAACAGCTGTCATTCTAACTGAAACGTTTCTCGTCGTCAGCTCGGAGCAGGAGCCACTTTAGGAAGAACCATGTGGGGAATGCTGGGATTGGGCGCCTTTGGATTTCAGCTGCAGGAAGTTCCAGGAGACAAACGCATTGTCACCACCACACGTTCCCATAGCAACAAGCTGGTAATGGACTGTGTAGACGCCATGGAGCCTCACGAAGTTTTAAAAGTGGGTGGAGCTGGAAACAAGGTGAGGTGGATTTAGAGTTAGTAACAAGCTGAGG